CAGCAACGATGCGGATCAAAGACGAGAGGCGTATAAAGAACAAATGGAAAAAAACCGGGAGCATACCGGGGAAAGATAAACAAATAGTGGCGCAGTACCGCTCGAGTGCCACTTCTCAAGTAGCCACGTAATTTTAAAACCTCTCTCGAACCAACTCGATTTTATTTTTATTCAGGGCAAAACGATGGCTTCGCAAAGTGGTAACAAAGAAACATTTAAAACACAAAACGAAAGACAACAACTAGAGCCGCTAAATGTAAAACAGAACAAATAAATTGGATTCAGAATTTTAATTGCCTAACGACTTTTACAAATTGCGCATCTGATGGTTGAAGTAATTATCCTTCTGTAACCAATATGCAATCAGAGTTATATAAAATGTGGAATACAAATAGTACAAATTAACATTTGACGCTTTATATATATATATTCTCTTTCTTTTTTTATTTCGTTATTAATATTAGCTCTCTCTATTTATTTAATAAACTTTTAATTTTAAATTGGATATATATTGACCGTTTTTTAATTGCAACGATTGTCAAGATAATTAATAACAATAAAAATTAGAATGTTCGTTGTTAGGTAAAGAAAATTTCAAGCTCTAATATTTCTCGTAGGATCTTTAGTCAACAGAGAATGAGTGATTTCCGGAGCAACGTATATATCATAGCGAAAATATCGAGATTAAGTGTGAGCAATCATTCAATAAAATTAAATGTTAAGAATGGTGTTCCATTTTGGTTGAGATGCTCGACGATATAAAACGTCATTGCAAATTCGAGTACAACAGATGTTGGGCATAAACAACAGCAGTTCACGATTATGCTATCCAAACAATCGCACTATACATATGTACAACTATACAACCCAATTAAACAAACGATAAAAAACAGCTGCCACTATTTATTGTTCGTTTATACGCATTCGTATCAACATTTATATTTTCTGTTAGAATCTTGGGGATATATCCGAACTAATAAATTCTTCTTAAATATCTTGAAAGAGCCAATTTTCTCTTAAAAAGTTTGACCATTTTTAAAATCTTGAAAAAAATCGCAAAGGTCTTGTTCGAAATTTGTATGAAACACTAATGTCCTGAAACTTCCAAAACTTTTAATACTTTTAAATTCATTCAGACTCGATTAAAAAGATTTATCATAATTTTCAAAATTTTTAATCAGCCTTATAATTTCGAATAGTATTTAAAGCGATTCGCAAAATTTTAATTCTAGTTTAGAAATAATTCGAGCTGTATTTAATATATTGCTACTATTATTTCAAAAATTATATTTTATTAACACTAAATGCATTCTCGTTATAGACATAATTTTGAGTAACTACAGTTGAGTTATTCAACATTTATCATTTTTATAATTAATCTTTAGAGAGTTTCATGCATCGGAACATAAAGATTGAAAATGCAGGGAAGGTCAAAAGGAAAACAACGAATCGCGATAGAGAAGATGGTCGGAAGACGGAATTAAACTGAAATTAATGATTTTACTGCGGAACGTCGATCTTCGTTATATCGAGCCACTGTCTACATCATGACCATATCTCCATTATTAAGAGCTTACATAGAAATAAACCCCGTAGAGAAGTTAAAGTTTTCCCTTATATAACTGCGCGCGAGCAGTACACGGATACGGTGAGAATGTAAATGCGGATATCGAATATATCATCGGAGCGATTCCATCATCGTCACTCCCATCGCTCTCTTCCCCGAGCAAATTTTTATCAGATTTTCATCTCCATTATTCGACGGCTCAACCACGGAAGTCAAAAAACAGAGGGTACTGTAATAAAATTCAGCTACCGCGCGAGAGAATTTATGTCATGCTCACGGGCTTTTATATCGTACGGATAAAATTGGCGTACACTCATGCTCCGTACATTTCGGAGCATTTTTGCCATATATTTCTGTTGCTAAAAGAAAAATCTCGCTATAAAAGATGCGTCTTTCTTCCCTCTTTCATTTTCTGAAAACGTAGACGTACAAGAAAAAGTTGTTTAACTTTATCAAAGCAGATTATCTTCTAAAATCGCGTACCGGTATTTTTGATCTTTTAAAGTGGTCAAAGAGAAGCACTAATCATGCAAAGCTTCAGAAAAACTTTGCAAATTTGTGTTTTCATATACTTTCATTATAAAATATATACCTATCTAAGGACATAATAAATACACAAATTTGAAAAGTAAAATATATCCGAAAACCAAGAGTGCATTCCAGGATTAAATGAGAATCTTTTCTGTATCGAAGTTAACAAATCGAAAAACAGATGATACTTTTTGCCTCTCAAAGTCAAGGAATTATAATGATTTACGATCAATAAACGGAATAATTGTCACATGGTAACAACGATCATATTAACTATTAAATTAAATCTTCAACACATCTGATATATTATATCAGCGCTCTAAAACGCCATATATTCGTTAAACGTACATATAATTCCCTATCTAACTTCATTTTTGCTAATAAAATTGCAAAACTTTGCTAATAAAATTGGAAAACTTAAATGTCCAATTTAAGCCGAGTGACCATTCGGTGTTTCTGTTGCGTTCGTTGTCATATTTCTGTTTTACGCCAAAACTTATATTTATAAACCCGATTGCACTAACTGGTTGATTAGCGGCAACTTTCGTTAACTAAATTTGTTCATATCGCAGATAGGGTCTAAAAAGAGACATCGCAATCGCTAATGCAAGATTAATTAACCAGGTTTATCGATGCAGCTCGATCTTAAGCGTTAAATTGTTTTCACAAACGAAGCAACATGAGTTGCCGCGATAGGCTTTTGAAAATGATTGTTTCTTTTTTGCTTTATTTTTCGCCGATAATGAACATAATCGGTCATAATGCGGCGTAGAAAAAAATCGCGGCGTGTTATTCTGTATGCGAATGACAAACGATCAACAGCCAAATTGTAAAGCCCGACAAATTTATCTTCTCGCGCGACAATTTTCTTTTGTGAAACATCACAATCTATGAGAGTTTTTCTTCTATCGAATTAATTACTCTCGGAAAGTCATTACTTATTATATGTTAGTATATAAAAGTTTGTAGATTGATTGGAAATATTTAGCATGTATAATCATCAAGAATCATAGAAATTTATCTTAAATGAATTAAACTTTAATTATTATAAATAAGTAAAAAGATATAATATTAATTAGTATATACCTATACATGTATATATATATATATATATCATTGCAATAATTTCTGTTTAGTATCTTCTCAGACTTCCATTGCTACAGATCTTTTTGAGATTGTGCTTCTTTATCAGAAAGAGAGAGAGAGAGAGAAATAATTTTTTTTTTATTCTTCTATTACAATAGTATATTCGCATCGACGTATAATATATAAGATCTAAATAAAAAATAATAATAAAGAATAAAATAATATCAGCCATTCTCTTTATGTAACAAAAATCTAATCTCTAAAATCTTTCTCCTTTTTGGAAAAATATAAAAATAAAAGAAAATTTCTCTTTTATGCGCGTTTTTATCCCGCGCATGCATAAATTATATTATCAAAGACGATTGCGCGAAAACGAATGCGAAATTACGATTAGGCCATCGAAGTTCGTTGAATTTCGTTGAATTTACTTAGTAGATAAGATCAAGAAGTCCAGCAACGATGCGGATCAAAGACGAGAGGCGTATAAAGAACAAATGGAAAAAAACCGGGAGCATACCGGGGAAAGATAAACAAATAGTGGCGCAGTACCGCTCGAGTGCCACTTCTCAAGTAGCCACGTAATTTTAAAACCTCTCTCGAACCAACTCGATTTTATTTTTATTCAGGGCAAAACGATGGCTTCGCAAAGTGGTAACAAAGAAACATTTAAAACACAAAACGAAAGACAACAACTAGAGCCGCTAAATGTAAAACAGAACAAATAAATTGGATTCAGAATTTTAATTGCCTAACGACTTTTACAAATTGCGCATCTGATGGTTGAAGTAATTATCCTTCTGTAACCAATATGCAATCAGAGTTATATAAAATGTGGAATACAAATAGTACAAATTAACATTTGACGCTTTATATATATATATTCTCTTTCTTTTTTTATTTCGTTATTAATATTAGCTCTCTCTATTTATTTAATAAAATATTTATTTAGTTATTAATTATAACAAATTATTTAATAAATTTCATATCAATGCAGAGAATTAGCAAGAATACAAAAGCCAATTCCATGCATATTGATGATACACGATACACCGCGTATCAATAAACCTGCGTTTGTTATTTTATCACAGCGATAAGACAACCGAACAATAAAGTTTTGCACATGTCATTGCGTTTTTGTCATATTAAGACAATAGAAATTGGGAGATCAAATATTGCTGGTGCAGGAAGATGTAATAAATCGCTGGCTAAGGTCGGTTCTGTTTGATTAATTTTATGGAAACTGTCGGAACACGAAGCTCACTATGTTACTTAACCTCATTGCGTTGCATTCTCATCAGCGCATTTGTTGACTTTAACACGGGTATGATATGTATAAAAAATATTATGGGATATAAAATGTTACGTCGGTGTTAAAATATAGTATAAAATATAATATCTTTTTATATATAATACTTTTAATACGATAAAATTATTCGTAATAATTTATTATGTATCTTTCATGAAAAAAGGTTTTAAAAATTCTTATCGTCATTTCAATTTATGTATAGATTTATACTTATATAAGAAAAAATGCACAAAGACAAATTAATATAAAATAAAAAATGCATGAATTTAGTTTTCCAACGATCAAACATATGTACAATATAATATACATATATACTGAAAGAGTAACAATCAATAATCGGATTAGTTGCAATCGTGTGAATAAGTTTACAACGCAAAAAGTCAGTATATGTATATGCAAGCGTGACGTAAACAGGAAGTCATTATTAGAAGCAATTATCATAATGCAATAGAAGCTGTACTTGTCACATCACGTAAGAAACACATATAATTATTATTATTATTCTCTCACCTTCACGGGTATGCAGAATATTATTAATAAAAGATCAGCCGTGGCCAGACCTCCCAGGAAAACATTGGTCGGCGTCGCGGGCAACGGTCTGAGTCGTGGACAAAGGGTAGAAGTGATGATAATGACATTTCCTGAAAGAAATTACGAACTCTTGATCGTAAGAATTATATTTTTTGAAACGTTCTGGAAAGACTTTGCTATATTACGGGGCAGTTCGAAAAAAAGTAACAAAGATCTTAAGTTCTTAATAAACCTTCCTTGCCGATGAAAAGAGAATCAAGTAATATATTTTTAAAATATTTTTGCCAATTAATCACGTACCAACAATCCCACTTGCCATGAAACAATTATTAATTGTTATGCATACAAAATAATTGTCGCGATTCGAAAAACGAGAAATGCAGGAAACTGCGTTCGATTGTCTGAATTAATGAAAATTCGAAATATTTTGGAAAGGTCATTTGGAAATGATATGCATTATACGTAACTTGCACTATAATTATGGCATCACATAATTATGAACATATTAGAAATTGTAACTGTTTACAATAATAAAATTTATATGATAGCCGTGTGAATTTCTGCGCAAGAAATGAGATTTTGTTGTTCGCAAATATTCCAT